AACGCCTGGAACGGCGAACGCAGTCTTCGTGGACTCGAGTGATCCACTCCCACATCCAAACATTTGCACGTGGATCTGTGGGTGGATTCCGAATGGCCGGACGCGTGCGGAGCGCCGGAGCTTCTGCGGACGAGCTCGAACGCGTGCGTTGGCAAAGCGGACTGGCGAGGGAGCTGCGCATGGCGTATCTGGGGGGTGCACTCGCGCGTGCGTTTACGATCGGCACCACCGCCTTCCTGCCGCTGCTGGTCACGCACCACTACTACACGTCGGGACTGTGCCGACAGCTGCCCTCGCCCAATCCAGACGCACCGCTGCCCGGCGATGAACTCAAGAAGCTGTGCAGATCCGCGTTTACCGCCACGGCCATCCTGGGCGGAACGGCTCAGCTCACAGCGCTGTTGGCTTCGCCTCTCATGGGACTGCTGTGTGATTTGCTGAGTCCGACAACGACTGTCTCGTTCACGTCGGCTGCTGGCGCTGCAGGCTTCTACCTGCTTGGCGTGGGCACTGCAGGGTTTGGTGGCGACCGACAGACTGGCGAAGAGGTACCCGATCCACTGGGCGCCCTGTCGATCGCCGCAGCTGTACTCATCGGCGTGGGTCAGATCGGCGCCATCGTAGCAAGCCTCGCCGGATGCGCGAGAGCAAGAGCATTGGTCCAGCACCATGCTCTGCCCAGCGGAACAGCAGGTGCAGGAGGCGACGAGGCTGCCTCGGGCAGCGGGACGCTTGTACCCGGCCGCGATGCAACAGGCAACACAGAGACAAGTGGCAAGGACGAAGCTGGACAGGGTGCAGGTGCGATTGCAGGCGCATACACGTGCACGGGCTCGCTCTCGATCCTGCTCATCTCGAAGCTCGGAGGCTTCCTGTTTGATCTGTATGTGCCCAGCCCGTTCCTGCTCATCGGCGGGTTTAGCGCGCTGGTGTCGATCTGCGGCTTTGCCACGACGCTGTCCATGTACCTCAAGTCGACGTAGGCCCAAATCTCATGCTGTATCCGCACTTTGTACTCTGCTCGTGTGACGTCTGTTCGTGTTCAAGGAGGAAGAGGGCGCGGTGGGGACTCGGTCGAAAGCGAGATCAGATCGGGCAACGATGCGGAACGCAACTTCCGGCTGTGGGCGTTAAATACTTCCGCGGCAAAAGGGGTCTATCGGGGATCGAATTGGTGCGGGTGAACGCAGGTGCTGGGCGCGCTTGTCACTCCGCCTTTTGCCTCCAAGGGTCCACACCTGAGCACAGACGCGCGCAGGCGCACGACAGCGATATTCCGGATTCGAACAAAAAGACGGTCAGATCTCCGCTCCCCGCTCTGACCCGCTCTAGGCAATCGGAGATGAGGTGGGAGGTGGGAGGAGAGGGATCGTCGGAAAGGGAATGCAAACGCCACTTTCTCGGAGGAGTGGCATCCTGATTCCAACGCGCATGATGCCGAGTGGCCCTGGATCCCGTCGGCACGCCTGAAGTTCAAGCAGAATCATCCGGTGATGTTGTAGCGTGAGAGCGAGCATACAGGGTAGTGTGGGATTGGCGAATTGCAGCGAGATGCAGAGAAGCGGATGTGCGTTTGGCCGGCGAATCCGATGCTGGTGTGAGGAGCGGACCGAATTCCGACTCTTTGACGGCAGATGTGTGAGTTTGGCGAGCTTGGATGTGGGTGACGAGTGACGAGAGCGGATGAGCTTGGCGAATGCGCCTCGATTCGATTGCAACTCGCTTGTAGCCGCTGCCTGCAGCAGAGCATGAATTTTTCCCAACAGCCGCGGCGCGCTGGCGCTCCCTTGCCTCTGATCGAGGGCGCGTCTCGGAGGGCAGAGAGGCGGTGGCTCGGTCGTGAGAGCTGATCCGCCGCATGTTCCGACGCTGCATCCACGCACGCACCCACGGCCTGCATCGCGCTCTGCATTCTGAGCATCGAGCTTCGGGATGTGCAAAGTCAGCTTCGTGAACGGTGCACACTGGCCAAGCTACAGTAGCTTCGGCTCGGCCCACAATGCTCGACGCTTCGGGTGCAGAGAAGGAGCGGGAAGGGTGTGCGAAGTGCCGAGCTAACTTAGTTTTTTGGTGGTGCGGGACTGGCGAGCGGCTGACGCGGCGGGTGTCTCAGGCGCACCCTGCTGGTGTGCTGGTGTGCTGAGCTGCTGAGCTGCTGCACCCGTCTGCCTGGCACTCCTACATGCCAGTCGCAGAGCTCGGCCCCCGTTTGCAATCCAATCCATTCGCCGCCGCCGCTTCTTTAGACTCTCGGCGATTCGCTTTGCGCAACTCGTTTGCAGCTGCAGCTCGCCAGTGCATCTCTGCCTCTGCGTTGTGCTTATGCTGTCACTCGCTGCACGGCTGTTCTGTCGCCCCACCCCCAGCCTCAGCCACAGCCCGAGCCCCCAGTGTGCTCTTCCGCCCCTCTTCTCCGCCGCCCCTGCAGCGCGGCAGTCACATCTGCCACACACTTTTTCCGCCCCTCCGTCTGTCAGTCGGCGCAAGCCTCGCTCGCTGCCAGCCTGCCTGCCTGCCAGCCTGCCAGCCTGCCTGCGCCTGTCAGAGTGTGTGACTGCAAGGCGCCCAAAGTTAGCCGCCGCCGCCGCGACTTGCCATTCTGCACTTGTGGGTTTGGCTTCGAACGCTAGTGGCACTACGCTTCTATGCGAGCTTGCCTTTCGAGCTCGCTCCGCGTCTCCATCGTCTTCCCACCCCCTTGCCCTTCTCCGAGCCTCTCACGCCCACACCAGCATCCTGCCTCGCATCTCTTCATCGCTCGTCCCTGCGATTGCGCAGCTTGCACACGCACCTCTTCGTTGCATTCAAACGCCCACCTCCTCATCCACACGCAGCACGCAGTCTCGCATCCACCAACCTGCGCTCCAAGTTAGCGTCGTCGATCGGTAGCACATCCCCCCCGC